GTCGAGAAAAGGAATATGTCACTTCGTGTTGATAGGTTTTACAGCTCGAGGGGATTACTATATTGTATTCTCTTCCTTTTTCATAGGAGGGGGGACAAAGAGGAATTTTGAACTACGCTATATCAGTTAACTTTTATAGATTTGTTTCGTCTTTAGGAGAAGGATTTCACTATTTTTATCTATAAATTTTTTGTGCTCTATTCACAGGTTGTTGATGTTACTCCAGGGTTGCAGGAGCGAGATTTCAGGGATACCCCCTACATTCCCGTATACGTTATGCTACCTGTGAGTTGAATCAGATTTTCTTTCTTGTGGGACCTTATTCGTTTCCTCTCGAAGTTTATTCATCAATATAGCACCATATGATTCACTCTGTTTGGTGGCTTTTTGAACGCGAGAGCCAAGCATATTGTTAATCATTTTTTGTGTGCGCCTAAATTGTTACTTGCCTAGTCGTCTCATCAAAGCTTATCTTACCACTTAACCTGTCAAATTATTTGGAAACTGTAAACCATTTTGACTTTCATATGACAGATGGGCATCATCAACATGGAATGTGAAATTGTGGATGCTAATAATCTGGTTAACCAACTAAAGATCTTGAAGTCAGCTAAGGTGGATGGGGTTGTCGTGGAGTGCTGGTGGGGTATAGTGGAGGCACATACCCCACAAAGATATAATTGGAGTGGTTACAAGAGGCTTTTTGAAATTGTTCGAGATCTTAACTTAAAACTGCGGGTTAGTTCTCGGTTGTATGGAATTGCATCTTTAATGTGATCTGGTGTCTTCTTTGACTTCTTCCTTTCTAAAGTATTCTATTGGAGGAATTGAACTTTCTCAGTCGTCTTACTTTTGAAGAAAATATCCAGGTGGTAATGGCATTCCATGAATGCGGAGGAAATGTCGGTGATGATGTTCATATTCCTCTTCCACAATGGATTACAGAAATTGGTTATAGAAATCCTGACATATTTTTTTCTGACAAAGATCTAAGAAGAACCCATGAATGTCTCACCTGGGGAGTTGACAATGAGCGTGTTTTAGGAGGACGAATTGCTCTTGAGGTAATCTTTTTTTTGTTCTTTTGTGTGTGCATCATGTAGTTCAGTAGGCCAACATACTGTTTTCTACTTCTTTTTTTCTTGATTTTATTTTATATCAAAGTATGGGAGAATAAGTAGCTTAAGGTAAATACCTTTGTACCATTACTGTTAAATTACTCACAGCAATAGTGCTACTTATGTCAAAAACTTGCTAATCTTTTGTTTTTTGGTTATTCAAATAATGGTACACCATTCACGCAAAATCGGTAATACTATGACTTCTGGAAGAATTTTCCCATCCCAAAACATAAAATGTTGTAAGGTGTATTATTTCAATGACTAATTTGCTCGTACAGGTTTACTTTGATTTAATGAGAAGCTTCCGCGTGAAGTTCGATGAGTTCTTTGAAAATGGAGTCATCTCTGAGATTGAAATTGGACTTGGTCCATGTGGAGAATTACGATACCCTTCTCATCCTGCAAAACTTGGGTGGAAATATCCTGGTATTGGTGAATTTCAGGTGAATTTAACCTCTCAAATGGTTATTGACAATTTTCTATCGTAAATGATACTTCACCCGATCAACACTGTGAATACTTGTAGTCACATTCCAATATTAAATGTGTTATGACTTTTTTTTTTATAACGGTGATGTCCGGCTAACTTGCACCATGTAACTTTATCCACCAAGTCTTAGGTAGGCGGAAAGTAATCACCTAATGTTTTTTTGCCTCCACTAGAATTTGAACCCGAGATCTAATGGTTGTTCCAACGTCAATTCCAATAGCTGTTTCTAGTTTGATAGCCCTCTGTCTTGCAATGGAAAGCGCAGAAAGACAACCAATAAAGAAAGAAAAACAAGGAGAAAAATAATAGTCATAAGTGACAGTTTAGAGACTCTTAAGTATCACAATAAGGTCAAAGACTTGTTCAATTTATCATGTCTTTGAATAGCTTTTCTTCTTTTCGATTTCGATAAGAAAGAATAAACACACCACTATTTCCAATATCTGCTCATTTAGAAATATGGGAGAGAATAGAAATAGAAACATCTCACAAGAAATAGAAACACCTCACTAGTAATTTGACTACTATCCATATAAACTTGCCAAAATACTTGAGCGCTTCCTTGGCTTCTTGCTCCCCTTGAAAGCCCATAATGTCAAACAACCTGCTTTTCATATCTCTGATTATAATGATAATGCAGCAACAACATACTCAGTGTAACCCAACACGCAGTGTCTGGATAACGAAAATTCAGAAGGATAATAAATAATCAAAAAATGAAAAACACATGCTTATGTATCTTCCGAAAGCATCAAATTCTTTGCTAAAGATGCACCATATATCCGAAGCAATAACGATTTAAGAATCTTAGCCAAGGTTTCTCCCGTTGTGCAAACTTTCTTGCCCTTAATATCATGCTCACTTTGGGTCTTCCCACATTTATAATAATAGTAATAGATTAGCTATCGACCCTTGATATCTAGCGTGACATATTTATTAATCATGTGTGCTTACATCCTTTGCAGTGCTATGATAAGTACTTGTTAAATAGCTTGAAAAAGACAGCGGAGGCATTCGGATGCTCATCCTGTGGTAAAGGACCTTGGAATGCAGGTTCTTACAATTCGAAACCACAAAACACTGAGTTTTTTCGTGATGGTGGAGAATATAATAGCATTTATGGTAGATTTTTCTTGAAATGGTACACTCAAGTTTTAATTGATCATGGTGATCAAGTACTTGGCTTGGCAAATTTGTCTTTTAAAGGCACTCCTATAGCAGCAAAGGTGGTAAAATTGTAAAACATATTCCTTTAAATGCTAGACATGTTCATGGCATCATAAATTGCTTTTTTAGATTGATTTCGGTTCCTGATGCACTCTGATTGATGAGCAGCTACCAGGAATCTATTGGTGGCGCAACACTAAGAGTGGTGCAGCTGAATTAACAGCTGGCTTTTACAGTGTTAACTGTCGTGATGGCTATTCTCCAATTGCGTCAATGTTAAAGAAGCACGAGGCAGCTCTGAATTTCACATGTCTTGAATTGCACACAGTTTATCGGGATATTGACTTTCCAGAAGCATTAGCTGACCCGGAAGGACTAGTTTGGCAGGTAAACATGTGTGAATCTAACATGCAGAGGATATGTTGTGATATTTAATTTTTTCGAGGAATCCTGGTGTGAATGTGCAAGTAATAGATTGTCGTACGCAACACGTACTTGAAAAGTAAAGTGTTAAATACGTTGATGTTTAACCATGAAAAATTGAAAGGTAACATTTGTTTGTCTAAAGGCTCGAGGTTGCAAATATGTATTATTGTCTTATGTAAATGAAATATGCAAAGCTTAATGATTTTGGCCTATAGGAGAGAATCATGTTGTCAAGCAACTAGGCTGTGAGCCATTTAAACATTTCAAAGAATCAACTTCTCTTACATTTTTCGTCATTGCTCATGTAAATGTTGTTTTGTCGATATTGTTTATATTTTTTAGCAAGTGAATGTTTTTCCTTTTTTTTTGTGGGGATGGTGGTGGGGATTGTTTTTGTTGTACAAATTAATCACAAATAGCTCAGAAACTTGATGTCCATCTACATCAAAGAGATAATTGATCGTGCAATGTAATATCTATGTATTGTCTCTGCATCACTGGATATACTTGGTCTTTGTTTAAGGGATTTCCCAAAACTACAGGTGCTAAATGTTGCATGGGAAGCCTACATACCTGTTGCTGGTGAGAATGCACGTCCATGCTACCATAGAGAAGGCTACAACAAGATCTTGGAAAATGCCAAGCCTAGGAATGATCCATTTGGTAGACACTACTTATCTGCGTTTACCTACCTCAGGCTGAGCCCAACTCTGTTGGAGAAACACAATTTCATGGAGTTTGAACGATTTGTGCAGAAGATGCATGGTAAAGTCCTTCTCCCTATCAATTATAAGCATTGAGGATTTACCGAAATTCCAATATGCAACTATGCAATTACCCATTAAATGTACTTCTCTATGAAGTAGCGAGTTATCTATGATTGACAGTGGTCTCATTCTTGTTTGCAGGTGTACAATGTAACTATCTGAGTTGGAGTCATTTCTGGAATCTGGAATAAATTCCTGTGGCAGCCCCAGGAATTTGAGTAAGGGTCATTCCATATTTCGAAGTTATGACAACGTCCGAGTTCTTTATCGTAAGAGATTGATAATGTCCTGACTGTCACATTTGTTCAAAATGCGACCTCAAAATCACTTCGTTTGTAGGGTTTGTTTTTTTCCTTTGAAAGATAGGTATCTTATAGTGCACCAATGATTTAATAAATTCATTTTGCAGTATCATTTTAACATATGTCTATTTAGTTTATTTAACAAAATAAAAATTTAATTAAACTATGTGAAATTTAAAAAATCAATAAATTTTAGATGTTTTGGATTATGTATATTTTGTTTTCCAAAAATTCAATTATAAGTATATTATATTACTTTTGTTAATTAATAAAAGAGTACATGTTTTACGGTAGAATGATGAAGTATAAGATTATCTACACTCTTGTAGGTGAGCCTGTAGATCTAAAAGGATTCCAACCTTAGGCTTGATCGGATATCCTTTGTCCACGAAGACAAACGTGAATTTATTTCCTTTGTATTCTCTCATAAAGAATGACCTCTCTCCTTATGTGGATACAATTTGTCTTTATGTAATGATTTATAGCCAAATAAAATTTATGCGCCTTATTTTACATCATAAGCTCATTTCTTAAAAAAAGTCATTAATCTAATTCATTTAAGTTAAAAAAAAAACAGGGGGGATTTTTTCTAAAATTAGGCCTCTAATTACGCTATTTAACTGTGGAACTAGTATTTCTAAAATTAGGGACAATTCAAGAAGGGAGTAAAATTCGAGCAATTGCGATAGAAGTTCATAGGAAGTAGGCGGGAACATCCTTTTTAGTTTTGTGATTGCAGCAAAAACTGATGGTCCAAACGAATAGAATTGATAATGAAAAAAAAAAAAGAGAAGAATATTGTAGGCAAAAACGATCAGAGCAGGGTAAGAATATAAAAAAATGGAAAAAAAAAAAAAAATTGGAGCCTAAAATAAAGAAACCCCAAAACCTGTAAGTTGTCTTAAGTAATTAGGATGAGGATTTCTTACCATCTCTTGTAAATTTTTCATGGATTTATTTACTTGGAACTATTTGTAATAGACTTTCAATTTTGTTCCTCAACTTTAGTTTTGTATGCGTATTAGTAATGATTAAGCCTGTTAGCCAATTTATACTTGCATTCTACAACCGGAGTATTCAATTTTTAGAACTCATGAGATTTTAAAATGCACTGGAATTAACTTCAACTGTAGTCACTAGTATCTCTTCACGCGTTGCATGCATATTTCGTATACGTTCTTAATGAATATATTAGAAATAAATATATATCTCATGAGATTATAACTGTAGGATATATCGTGGTATTATTTATCCACCTTCTATATGAAATAGCTAACACAATCATTTTAGTATAAAATTAAACTAACATTAGCTGATACACACAACCAAATATAAAATAACTATAATTCCAAACTTTATAATAGCTAATATACTTATTGCGTTAGCCAAACGAGCCCTAATTAAGACCCTTCGTGAACAAAGTTAAGAAGCGTCCTCTATATCCAACGTTATATGCATTCTTTAATTAGCTGACTTTTAATTTACTTACAGTTCATTGATTTCAAATATTGAGAGTTGAGATCTCGAAGTTTCGATTCAATTAAAATAATCATTCAATTATTAAGCGATTTTATTAAACGATGTGTCCTTGAAGTACATTCTGAAAAGGAAAAAATGGCTTATTAGACAAGTTTACCATCTTATTGAATGGATTAATGTTCATCCAATATTGTGAACTTTAAGATATGTAATATGTGGGTTTTGGTTAATGGTATTATTTTACCTTATCTAATTCTACTGCATGATAAAATATATGACACAGACATTTTGATTGGTGTACTAACCAATTTAATGGTGATATTTGTAAAGCAAAATCCAAAAAGGTGAAATTAAACACACACACACATGGATATAACATCAGTGCTCCTTTAATTATTAGCTACACGCAAAGTCCAAGTAGGGACGTATATGGACCGGGTTGATTCGATTTTTATCAAAACCAAACCAACTATATCGATTTGGATTGGTTTGATTTTGCCAGATTTTTCGGATTTTTTCGTTACATGAATATTATTTCAATCTTATTTTGTTAAACTTTTAAATAAAGTTTTGATAAGTGAATATATGTTTAGTAAAAATAGAAAAACCTAACAAACATATGATCTATTAAAATATTCTTATGTAAAATTATTATTTAGTGATACATGATAGTTATTTTCTTAGTCGTCTAACAATAACTCTTATTTCGAATTCGAAAACGAAATAAGAATTTAATAGATTTTGACATATAAGTATGGAAGAACAAAGAGATTGATGTATTTCAATAATATTTGATAAAAAAATGATGATACAACTTATTATCTAAAATAAATAAAAATGGATGCACTTTATAGTGCTATAAAATATTACATCACATGAGAGAATCCCAAATACTTCTAGATATTTTTAAAAAAAATTCTAAATAAAATCTTAAAAGTATATATAAAATGATAGATTTATATGTCGGTTTGGTCGAGTTTTCAAGTTATACACGAAAACTAGATTTTTATTCATATTAGATATAACAACAACAATAATGACCCAGTAGAATTTCTCAAATAGGGTCTGGGAGGGTAGTGTGTACGCTGACCTTATCCCTACCCCAAGAAACAAAGAGGCTATTTCCGAAAATCCCTCGACTCAAGAAGATGGAAAAGACGAGAAGAGAGGGAAGGGATAACATATTAATACTATCAAACAGAAACCAAAGAAATAATAACGTCATAAGAACAAGAAAATAGTTGTGATGACCCAAAAGGTCATCACTTGATTTACGAATAAATTATGTATCCCGAGGCCTTAGAAGCCTCCTTTTTCCTTACCTCGATTTGTGTGCATGGTCTGGGCGTATATCCGGAACGCTTTTATGTGTAAATGTGATGAAAATTTTAATTTGGCCTTTAAAATTGAATTTAAGTTGACTTCGGTCAATATTTTGGGTAAACGGGTCCGAACCTGTGATTTGACGATCCCGGAGGGTCCGTAGGAAAATATGGGACTTGGGCGTATGCCCGGAATCGAATTCGGAGGTCCCAATCCCGAGAAATAAATTTTTGAAAGAAATTGTTTTACTGATAATATAAGAGTTTTTGTAAAGTTGATTATATTTGAAATTTATGGTATCGGGCCCGTATTTTAGTTTCAAAGCCCGGTACAGGTTCAATGTGACATTTAAGATGCGTCTGTGAAATTTGGTAAGAAACGGAAGTCGTTTGATGTGATTCAGACCCGTAGTTGTGAAATTTGATACTTTAAAAGTTTTGAGATTTTTCTTAGATTTCTATGTTAAATTCGTTATTTAAGATGTTATTTTGGCGATTTGATCACACGAGTAAGTCCGTATGATGTTTTTAGACTTGCGTGCATATTTGGTTTAGAGCCCCGAGGGCTCGAATGAGTTTCGGATAGGCGTCGGGGTGATTCGAACTTAGAAAATCTGGTATTTTTGTTGTTTGGTGGTGTCTAGGCTTTTGTTCTATGCGATTGCATAGGTAGGTCCGCGATAGCATAGTGTTAATTCTGGGGTCATCATTTGTTCTATGTGATTGCATAGGTAGGACCGCGATAGCATAGAGTTAATTCTGGGGGTCACCCTTTGTTCTATGCGAACACATCCAATTGCGTGCGAACGTATAGATTCCCCGCCCAGTTATTTTAAAACCGTAGCAAAACGGGATTTCTTCAAAACTTCATAACTTTTTCACTTAAACTCGAACTTGTGCGATTTTTGAAGAGGTATTTCACTACAAACCCATAGGTATGTGTTCTTAGACTCGTTTTCTTCAATTTCCATTAATACCCATTAGATTTCTAAGCCTAAATCATGTTCTTAAGGGTAAAAAATTGGGGATTTGGGTAGAGTTAGGGCTTTTTGAATAATTAAAAATTAGACCTCGTCTTGCCGGGATGTTGTTGTAATATTATTGTTCCCTTGTCGGGATGCTGTTGTAATATTATTGTTCACTTGCCGGGATGTTGTTGTAATATTATTGTTCCCTTGTCGGGATGCTGTTGTAATATTATTGTTCACTTGCCGGGATGTTGTTGTGATATTGTTGTTCCCTTGCCGGGATGTTGTTGTAATATTATGGTTCCCTTGCTGGGATGTTATTATTATGCTATTGTTCCCTTGTCGAGATTCTTTTATGATTGGTATTGATAAATTAAATGGGAGCGGGTTGCACGCCTACAACGGTAATACATGAAATGGGAGCGGGTTTCACGCCTGCAACGGTAATATATGAAATGGGAGTGGGTTGCACGCCTGCAACGACAATATATAAAATGGGAGCGGGTTGCACGACTGCAATGGTACTATATGAAATGGGATCGGGTGCACGCCTGCAACGGTATTACATGTGTACTTGTTTTCTTATTTCCTTGTCTTTTGCTGGTAATTGATTTATGGCATTCCCTTCATTTCTCTACTGTTATTATGTTGCTATCTGTTACTCCCCGCAACATGTTTCCCCCGCCCAACTTTAGCTGTAATTATCTGCTTTTATTTCCGCTGTATATGATTTAACTGCACAGGTTATTTGGTAGTCTGGTCCTAGCCTCGTCACTACTTCGCCGAGGTTAGGCTACGCACTTATCAACACATGGGGTCGATTTTGCTCATACTACACTCTACACTGTATGCAGATACTGATACCGGAGCGTTTGGACCGCAGTGAGGGTGCTGTCTTCAGTCCACTCGGCGACTCGAGGTAGTCCTGCAGACGTCCGCGGGCCTTGGTGTCTCCTCCTATCTTTTCTCTTTCTGTTTTTACTTATTCAGAGACAGACTTATGTATTTCCATTCATACCTTATTTGTAGTATTCTTAGATAGTCTGTGACTTGTGACACCAAATTCTAGGTAGTATTGTACTTCAGATTATGTAGCAGTGTTTGGTTGAATTATTAAGTTTTCGTCTTCCGTATTTCTGGTTATTTAATTTATTCTGTTGTTTAATCACTTATTATTTTGAATTGTTGAACATATTTAATAAAAAGGAAGGTAATGATTTTATAATATTTGGCTTGCCTAGCTTCCACGAGTAGGCGCCATCACGACTCTCGAGGGTGGGAAATTCGGGTCGTGACAAGTTGGTATCAGAGCTCTAGATTACATAGGTATCACAATTCATGAACAAGCTTAGT